TCGCTTGCCAGATTAATAGACACGTTGAGTTAGAAGAAATCTATAATTCACAAAGCTGACGGAGAAAAGTACACTGTATTTCAACCTTTGCCTTGTATGAGGCATGAAGCCACTGACTATATAAAATTAATGACGGGAGTTTGTTTTGTTTCCCCCTCGGTGCTAGGCGACTTTGTACATTGATATCTCTTCATACGTTAATATGGGTCAATGTCTTGCTTGCTTCCGCATTGTTAAAGTAAATATGTAAAGGTATATTACGTTAGCTTTAATCGTAACAATAGCTAAACAACATTGCTAAATAAATAATAGCCTGGTTCTAAATGAAAGATAAACTCTGAGCAAATTTTTACGTTAAATAATGTTTACATTTTGTTATTTTTTTGTAAATTAATTGTATTAATTGTTGTAAGTATCCAGAGTTTCTTCCAGGCATCTCTTGGGGGGGGGGGGTGTGTGGCGGTAGATTCCCTTCGCCCCCCCCCCCCCGAACGAAATGCAATTTATATATGAAATATATAATTTTGACAGTGTCCGCCCACCTCCCCCCCGGGGAAATTTTAGTCCGCATCCCCGAAAATTTCAAGTGCACCCCCGGAGAAAAGGCCTGGGAGAAACACTGTAAGTAACCTTCATCTACTTTATTTTTTTCGGCTCTCACATCTACACAATTTTACTAAAACTTAAGAATTGTATAATATATTTAATTACGTAAGTCAAAATTTTAATATTTGACATCTTCTGTAAATGTCATTTTAATCATAGTATTCCATAAGTCAAAGAATTCATAAAAATGAATTATTTGCTTACTAAAATGTACAATTCCCACTTTCTATACATTTGTAAATGTATTTAATCCAATCAGTTAGTTGTTGAATGTACATGTCCTTAAGTAGCCATTTTAAATTCAATTTCTATAAATAATAGTATAGCGGAATCGATATATTTTAAAATTTCTCTTATATTCTTAATTACAAATATGGGTTATATCACTTCAAGTACAATCGGACTATACAAATAGAGAGAACATAAAAAACGAAAGGTGTTTTCAAATGTTTCTTTAATAACGTTCTAAATAGTTTTTAGAAATTATTTTAAATATTATAAATGCGCATAGATAAAAAGAGTCGCGCAACAAACGTACACAGATAATATATGTATTAAGCGAAAAACTAGTACTTTATAAAATAAACATTTTTTAATAGTTAATCAAACATCCATTGAAATCGTATCTTGTACGTACACTAATCACAAAGAACATACCTCATTGCAGCTACACTAGTTGTTTACATTTTTTCTCTCAATATTTACACTTTGTCAAGGACAATTTTTATCGAAAGTGGAGTTTACTCAGCGGAAGTAACCAAATAAACTAATAACAGGTTTGTTGTCTTTGATTATCTCCCAGCAAGTATAAGCGTACAATTCCAGAGTGAACTACATTATATATATATATATATATATATATAATGTAGTTCACTCTGGAATATGTGTGTGTGTGTTTGTGTGTGTAACTGTGTGTGTGCATGCATTTTTAAAAAGAAATATACAAATAGAGATAGAGAATGCAAGTTTACATAAACTTGTTTTATATACTCTAAATTGTCTATCATAATGCTTATTAAACATAATCGCGAATGCAACGAAGTCACAATACAACTTCACTATTTATGTTATTTGATACACTTTACGTTCATTGTTTAAACTGCAACTGAATACACTTAAACCTAAAAGACGTTCATTAATTTTTTAGCCGTCCAAATACTGGCGTCTTGAACATATTTAAACCAACATGAGTCAGCAAGACGAATAAATACAAATGATGAAATCAGAACAATGGTGGTAATCTTACCGCTCCCGTGTCCCTACTTATGTTTGCGTTTGGATATTTATCTCCTAGTTGGGTTGACGTCACAAGCTACAAGCCACATCTGCTGTGGATTCTGTGGATTATGAGTACACTACTTCTGGCTTAGTACGATGAAATTATAAGAAAAATACCTCATAAACACTACCCACCAATACAAGCACAAAAATGCAGTTACGACATTAACATTACATTCTCTCGGATAGGCATTTATTATTTATCCTCAATCCCATGCCTTTCAAAATAAATAGGAGCGCCCTATACTATAGATGTTTGACTTTTTATTACAATAAAAACAAACAAAAATGCACTACAGCTCCGAATCGCCTAAGACATAAGTTGTGTTTTCTTAGCTATAAGACGTGTGTTAGTGGCATATATAATACAAGTATAGAATAAAATTGAAAAGATTAATGGAAAAATATGGGTTATAATCCTTAAATTGTATTTTATGAGCATATTGTATTTTTAATCGTGGTGGATATATTTTTATAAAAGTTTAAAACAAAATACATGGTAAAATAATTGAAATGAAGAAAAAAATCATAAAATATACACATAATATATTATATTTAAATTAAGTATTAATTAGTTCTACTTCTAACAAATAATTTATAGAAATGCGCATTATAAATTTGTAATTTATTTTTAGTTTTCAGCAAGTCCTTTTGAAAAGGTATTTGGAAAAATACAGCATTTTTTGTGTTATGCCACAACACAGTAGTTGATCTTTAACGATTTATGAATATGCATACATTGCTTTAATTTTGTATTTAATTAATAATAATAATGTAAAATAATAATTCAACAATGGATTTGCTGAGAGTTATTTATATGTTGTCATTGGCAATAAACAATTAATGATTTACGTACATGTTTTTTTTTTCCTGCTATGATGTGTTCTTATTATATTTTTATTTATTTTAAAGCACCACTACAATAGATATAGATTCCAATAACAATTGCCGACTTGTTTGACATACTTCGCAGTTTGATCCGTATGTTTTATATAACATTGGACATATAGACTAAAAAATATTTTGTAAATTCTCAAATGTCAAAAGTAACTTTGTTTCAGAAATGTACCCCTATTTTAATATTGGCTTTGTATAGTTACCGAAAATACAAGGTCGCAATAGTATTGTCTTTTCTAATCGCAATGATTTTCTTCTGTTTGTCCTCTGATTTAAAACTCCTAACACGGCCTTCTTGTTCCCAAGTTGACTCCATGTTTTTACTTGACAAAATTTCTCTTGCCATCTGCAAATATTTTTCAAACGATAACTTTTCTTTCTTGTAGTCTTTGCCGTGTTTCGTATAATGTGAGGCAGCAAGCATTGGATCAGCAAAGTTATATTTCTCACCCTGGCTATACCTGATATATTTAGTCGCCAGTTCGCGAAATGTTTGACATAAAATGTCTATGTTTTCTTTAATTTCTGTTGCAGCCCGTTCCAATCTTTGATTACGAATCTCATCTCTAGTTAGGTTGTGTGGGATATGTCTCATAGCCCCTTCTACATTTTCAACATCTGCTGGTCTCGTTGCTCTAGTTCAGGGGTCTCCAAACTTTTCAGTCCGAGGGCCGCATTAACTATCAAATTTCAGTTCGGGGGCCAGTTTCTTCCAGACATGTCGTGATTTTTCTGGGAAAATTTCCTCAGCCATCACCAACAAACGTTTTTTCCTTGGACAAAAAGATCTCCGCGGGCCGGATAAGAGGACTTCGCGGGCCGCATCCGGCCCGCGGGCCGTAGTTTGGAGACCCCTGCTCTAGTTGATCTTCTATTTTCTCTATTTCTTTGTCTGCTGCCACTGTTTTGAATTCCCTCTCGTTTTTTAATCTCAGATAACTTATCATTTAGTAGTGTGGCAGCATACTCGATGACAGCATCAAGCTTCTCAAAGTTGGTAACGCCCAACCTAGCAGACAATTCTAGTCCTAGATCAATAAAAGTCCTGTTAAACTCCAGGCAAGTATTTTTAAGAATATTATAAAAGCGTATGATTTGATAAGGTTGTAAATCTCTCAATATGTTTACGTCATTTAATAAAAAATCTTCTAGGTTTTGAACTCTAAGCTCAGAACATATTCGATTCTTGGCATCAACGAGTTCTACATCTAAATAAAAACGATACGTGTTTTTTATTAAGCGGAATTGATCACTGTTCAAATCTGGATTCAAAATTACATTCTTTTCTTCTTCCCTAAGCTGTACAAATGCTTTTGAATGAAGAGTAAGTCCAGCCATTATTATTGATTGTGAATCAGAAGTGATTGTAATTCTTTCAAATGAATTGCTGTAATGTAAAATATGTTGAATGTCTTTAATAAAATAAGCGTTCCCTAGATCTTCGCGAAGCTCGCCAGTCACCTCTCTGTAACCAGACAACAGTGCATCAAAAACATCCTCGTTTACTTGTGTACGTAAATTGTTGATAATGTTGGAAACAAATTCAGAGTTTATTTGAAATTGCAGGAACAATTGCCTCACAAGCTTTTGTGACGTTCTCCACGATGCATTCAAATCTATGCTGGTGATATCTTTAAAACATGCAAGTAGCTCTTTGACAGTTGGAGGATTTGCTAAGTCACAGTTAAAATCAATTTGGAAAAGGTGGCGTTGTTCAATGGAACTTCTACCAGGAAAACAAATGAAGTAATTGCATTTGCTATTGTTTTCTTTATGCGACATAAAAGATACGTTGTGGCCGCAGGGGAAAATATTTTCAAAGTTATCCCATTTGTCATGAACGTGTAGATTGTGATCCATGAAGTATTTTTCTTCGGAACTCTTTTTGAAACAAAACAAAGGTAAGAAAACTAAATCTTTGTCATTCTCTTTTAACTTCTCGTATCTGAACGTTACGGAAACGCTCACAGATTCAAACTGTCCATGTCCATTTTTCGTAATTTTTTCAACTATATCATTTAGAATCTCCTGTTCTTCTTCAGTAAACATTGTTTTGGTGTCCGCAAAAAATAAAAATGCTAACTGATCACATAAGAGAAATGTTGAATTTTGGTCTATTGTCCATTCGTTGGTAAAGTACGTTGTTTCGACACCACTATTCTCAATATCCGCCATTTAAAAAAAAAATATAATGGTACAGATAACGAGCCTAAAATTGTTTAGAAGTCCAACTCAAACCACCATGTATGATATGCAGGTATTCCTTCAGGCCGTCTCAGCTCCTCAGCTGTGTGTGTAATGTTTTCAAAAAACCCAATGTTTCCAAAATTATTTTTCCAGCTTTTTAAACGTTCATCAAAAAACTCAACAGACGCACTTAACTCTGAATTCTCATCAGCGTATTCCTCTTGTAGAGATTCAAAGTCTTCTATCATAAACTGAAGTCCAGATCTTAGAATCAAATACTTCGGGCCATAATCAACATCAAAAGAGTTGCCATGATAGAAGATACAGTCATCTATAGCATCAATACAGGCTTCAACTAAAGGGTCTACATCATGCAGATTTAATTCGTTGTATTTTTCTTTTCTATTTCTAAAATGAAATGATGCTTTCAACACATCTTCTGTTAAATGAAGTGCTAGCTTCTCTGTATAATCACCAACTGTGTATCGTTGTAGCTGTTCTAGCCTGTACTTCATACGTCCATATAACACATCTGTAGAAGTAAAAAAAATAATTGTAGTTAGTATAGAATAAATTACAAACTAAATTCATGTACTTTGCTGAGAATCGAAATTGATTTCAAATGTTTTATAAAAATTGTGATGTCTCTTGTATATAAGAACTTTGTTGGAATACATTTATGAAAAGCCAAGGTTTATAAAATGAAAAAACAATATCTGTATTATATCAGAAGAGTAAAGTGTATTAGAATGTAAAATTGACAAAATTGTAATACTTGCTAATACTTGATACATGTTTGTGTAAAATTGAAGATTAATATGACTGACTAGGCTAATGATGTAAGAATATCCTATTTGTCAAATATAATCATTTAAAATAACTTATTCTTCTTAGTTTAAAAAAATTATTTAATAAAAAAAAGATGTTACAGATTTCTCCATCATTTTTAATAGTTACATAAACTTAACTGAAACACAAAATTTGCATTACTTTTGCTTTGCAAAGTTTAATAATTCTCATTCATTTAATTACATTAAATATGTTATAATAATTTAAATAATAGAATTAATAGAATTTCTGTATGACAAATGAAATCAAAAGTAATATACACTAACATAAATTAATAAATACTCGTACATTTGAATAAAATTTAAACAGATATATACGTAGCTTGAATCAAATCAGGCGATTAATGTAAATACCCTGTTTTGCGTAGTTTTCAATGGTTAGAAATATTGCATCTTAAAAATAAGTCGTTGACAATAATTTTAAGAAATTGTTTACCAATAAATGTGTGTGATATTTGAGCTTATTGCCACATATTACCGATTACATATCTTGCTTTGACTCTGTTGTTGCTTCTCTGATATTAGTAGTTAATTAACAAGTCGATTTCCCATAATTTGAGTATATATCCCATCAGTGGCGTAGCGAGGTCGGGTGTCACCCGGTGCGGCACTTAATGGTGTCACCCCCCCCCCCCAGAGGCATAGAGACCCTTTCCAGGGACAAACTTTCAAATTTTCGATTTGCACCCCCCCCCCTTCAAACTTTCGATTTGCACCCCCCCCCCTCGAGTTTTTCTCTATAAATTTTGTTATTTTTTGCCTTGGTGTCACCCCCCTAAATGGTGTCATCCGGCGCGGTCCGCACCCCCCGCCCCCCCCCCTCCCCTCGCTACGCCCCTGTATCCCATAAATTCGCAAGCAATAATTAACTTCAACAGTATAGGATTAACTATCAAAACGATATTAAAACAAGCATCCCCATCAATATTTATAAACAATGCCAGCGTTGTTTACTTAGTTAAAGCATGCAATTATACATCAAAACATTTACCTATTGGCCAGAGATGAAGTAAAAATTCAGGTCCCATTTCATCGACAAGTGGATTAAAGAAAAGTGGACATTTGGACCAATCACTGACAGGTAGCTGTGCTTCTGGAGTCTGGAACATCAGACGTTGTTTGAGATTCTCAGGTAACTTTGTCTGTGAGAGTCTTTCATCTCGCTCTGGACTTACACCCAACATTGTTGACACCGTGATGAAAGCAAGTTTGACCAGTGGCCAGGGATTAGAAACCGCTTCGTGAATTAGTGTTTGAAGCTCGGTAGTTGAAGAAAGGTGTTGTTTGTGTTCTACAACAAGCAACTCATTTAAATCTTGTGGAGATTTGTCAAATTGACGAAGTTGTCTCAGATCATTTACTGTTACATAGCCAGTTGTTAAAAGATATTTTGTTACATCTACTTTCTGATACATTATAGACAACATTAAGCTTGTCACTTGAACATTTTTATCTAATGTTTTAATCAGTGTGTTGCCTTCCAAAACTATTCCATTACAAACTAGCAATCTTAAATATTCAAAATGACCATTTGAGAAAATTATTTCAGATCCAGCAATGATATTTGACTCCCCAGTCTTTAAAATCTGAGGGTCTGACAAAAGATATCTATATTTTGTATCCAGTAGAGAATTAGCACCGGATTTCAATAAAGTCTCTGTATTTTTAATCTGTTTCTTTAATAAACAATAGGTTAGAGCAGAAACATTATAATTGTCTAGAGCGTTAATGTCTCTCATATACTGCACCAAATACTCTACTAAATAGGCATGCTTTGTTTCAGATAAATAATCGCTACATATAGTTTTATGTAGAACATTCTTTCCAAGTTTATTTTTCATATTAACATCCGCACCTGCTTGACACAATGTTTTAATAACCTCAATGTCTCTCGCTAACATGAGAGGTGATTCCCCATCGTTTGTCTGATCGTTAACATCAGCTCCAGCCTTTATTAAATGTTTTATTGATTTTGTATAAGACCCTTCTGCAGCAATATGTAAGGCCGTATAACCTTCGTCGTTACGGATATTGACATCAGCTTTATGCTCTAGCAACATCAGAGCCACTTCTGTATTTTGATCTTTTACAGCAATCATTAAAGCTGTCGGGGCATCGGCGCTGGAACAAATTCGGTAAGAAGCTTGAAAATCACTGACATTCGAGCCCTTCATCCTCGCTACAGATGTATGCATTTCGCGTTTATTTGACTTCAAGTCGATAACATTTGCAACTTCTTTATGATTCAAAACAATCGCCATAAAATCAACGAACATTGTTTTAGCAGCCTTGTGGAGAACTGTTTTACCCGTGTTGTTTCTCAGTGTGACATCGGCACCCGCATCAAGTAAACGTTGAACTATTTCAATTGTGTGACTTTGTATTGCATAATGGAGTGCTGTGTTACCTTTTTTATCACTCACGTTTAACAGGGCTGTTGAAGTTATCAAAGATAAACAAATCTGCGTTAACTTTTTATTAATTTCCTTTATATCACCATGAAAAGTGAGATTACCACGAGAAACATTACGGTGTAACCGAACAGCTACATGTAAAGGTGTCTGGAGATTTGCATCTTGTAAATTAGCATCAGCTCCTGCTTCAAGCAATACTTTGACACTTTCAAAATCCATATATTCAACACAATAGTGCAAAGCTGTTTTTCCATGTGCATCTCTAAAGTCTGTTTTTGATCCAAGCTTCAGAGGCTGTTGAATTTCGCATGATCTGGTATTATTATGTAAGGAAAACTTTAAATGATCTTTGCGGTTAACGGCTAAGTGTAAAGGGCATTCCAATCGTTTATTTACTTGGTTTATATTTACACCAACATCGCATAAAATCTCTGTAAATTCAACTCGACCCCCAGTCACAGCACCGGAGTCATCATGTCTTTTATCAGTTGGTTCTTTTAAAGGCGAAGTAAATTGCCCTCTAAATGTTTTTGAATGCGTTTTATCTCTTGCCTGTGGTAAATGCGATTGCGTTTCGTAACGTCGTTCAACCAAATAATCTACTGAAGACGACTGATCATGTCCCCTATAACCAGTTTTGTGTTCTATTTTGCCTCTAGGTTGTGTTATGGAAGACCGGTATCCTCTACTATAATTATATTGCTCGTTATTACCATAGTAATCAGGGTAGTCTTCATTGAATGTCGGTAAATTAGTTTCACTACTCTTTTTATATCGCTCTACTGAAAAAGCCGAGTGCAACGCTGTGTTTCTATTCAAATCAGTTCTAGTCCCGTCAGCTCCCAGTTTTAGCATACGTTCGGCAAGGTCAAAATAGCCCAACTCTACTGCCATATTCAAGACTGGACGGTCTCCATTAAATAAAACGTTAACATCCGCCCCGTTCTCAACGAGAAAATTGGCCACATCTTTTCTTTGTTTTGACAAGGCCAGCGATAGAACTGAGTTGTTCAATGAGTCACAAGAATTTACATTAGCTCCGTGTTCTATAAACAGCTGCATAAGTTCCAAGCTTGCAAAATCCAGAATGTTCACGATTGGCATAACCCCATATTTATTCGGAACATTAACATTGGCACCAGCTTGAACGAGATAATGAATTTTCTTAATATTTCTTCTTTCAATGTATTTATGAAGCACAGAAGAATTAACAGACGCACCAGTTGATATTTGATCTAAATACTCCATAGAACTGATGTTAACACTTTCAGCTGCAACAGGACGTGGGGTTTCTCCACCGCTAGAATGTATTTTCTTCTCAAGTTCTGCTGTTGTTTGTTTCATAAGATTAACACCAGTGGGGCCTTTGGGAAAGCTAAACTCCTCTGCTACGTAAGCGTCAGATTCAGTTTGGGTCACCTGGGTACCAACACAAAGTTGATCCTCTGTTAATTGAATTGGATCTGTTTTACCTGCCCCCAAGAAAACATCTGAGCCTATCATGGAATCGCTGCGTTTGGTTTTAGCATTGACGTCAGCACTAGCATGTACAAGCAGTTCTACTATGTTTTCCTCTCCGCCGGCCGCCATGTGTAAAGCTGTTATTTTATTTCTTCCTTTCAAATTAACATAGGCATCATAAGATCGACACAATCTCTATTCTTGATGGCGATTTGTAAAGAACTTTCTAAATTGTTGTTAATTGGATAACGTTTGCTCCTACGTTGATTAGAATGTTTATAATTTCTAAGCTTTGCGAATTTCTGAATTTTTTTCTTGAGGTAAATGTATTATTGATTGAACAGGATATTTCGTAACGTACACGAGGAACGTGTTTTTGATGGTCGTATCGTAAAGTATTCTGTGAAGATGGATCGGAAAAAAATCACAAGTGTATAACAAAGTAATAAAATATTCTTACATTTTTATTTATATATATTTTTTCAGTTTTACGTTTAGACTGGATTATTACATTATTACATTTTGAGCGTATAAAAATAAATGAAAACAAAAATTAAACCACATCATCTTACAAAATACGTCATATTAAATATAGTCTGTAAAATATACGTTGTCAACTTATTATTTTTTTTTACTTAACTGTATTGTCGCCTAATTTATTTATACTTGGGTGAAACATAACGACGATACTAGCGCTTTATCTTTCTACAGCAGGGGTGATAAGAGAAACGTGGTCCAGATTTTAACATTTGTCTTGCTGTGTACACAGTAACCTAGACACAATCTTTCTGTATATGAGTAGCATATGCAAACCTACCAGCACGTCATATTATAAGTAGTCACGCTCTTCAAATTTTTTATGAATATAAATGGCAATAACAGGGATGTCAGTCATTTTGATTTGGCTTAGTGTGTATCCTGATATTTATAAATGGGTAGTTATAGCGCACGGCTGCGAAACAATGATGTTCTGAGTCCATCAAACTATGATGGGTACCTAACCAATTTGCACCCCCTCAGACTTTCAATTTGCACCCCCCTCCCCCCTCACACTTTCGATTTGCACCCCCCCCCCTCAGACTTTCGATTTGCACCCCTCTTCAAGCTTTCAATTTATTTTTCCAACTCATTGTGGCGCCCTTTAAGGTCGGCGCCCGGGGACATGTCCACCCCCGCGCCCCCTCCCCTCCCACGCTACGCCTCTGTACTTAACTCACTTTAGGTAAAGTTAAGGCTGAGACCACACTATCGCTTTATACGCAGAGGTTATAGAAACAGGAAATCTATACTTCCCAAGAGACCCACATGTTCAAAATTGATAACCGTTTCTTTTGATGTTTAAATAAAAAAAAATCTAAAAATATAATAAGGAACAGCTTAATTTATTCAATACTTATGTGGGGTTTAACACTTATTCTGATAGTAACACCATTTAGTTATCGAACGTGAACGTTTCAACATGGTACCCCCTTCACATTTTCACACTAATACGTGGACAACGGCTATCTTTGAGTGTGTGTTACGTCTTTTTTTTGCCCGCGAGGCACCCTAAACACGCTGGTGTAGTGACTTTTTCTTTTTTTCTAAAAAAATAAGTGGGATAAGCGTTGTAAAAATTCACGTCAAATTTCATTTAAGGGCATAAAAATATTGAATGGGAAGAGGTTCATTGATAAGAGTAAGTAATTATATTACGGTACAGCGTACTGCCAATGGCGTAGGCAGGGGGAGGGGTTAAGGGGGCTACAACCCCCCCCCCCATGGACCCCTCTGTAAAAAACATTTTTACTGTCTTAATACCACTTTTACTTATTCAAATCTATTACTGAATCAGTATATATGTATAATCGTATATGTAAGTTTAGAACAGTCATCTAAAATCTGACGCTATGTTCACTTTGAGTTGGTTATTCCTCCCCCCCCACCTCACCACCACAATTGTGTACAGCGACATTAATGTCACGCCTAGGTATACGCTGGGTAGGATAATTCACCTAAAGTGGCTAGACATATGTATATATATATCAAAATATAAATATAAATATATATATATATATATTTATATATATATATATATATATATATATATATATATATATATATATATATATATATATATATATATATATATATATGACTTTATACATATTATTATGGAAAGATATTTGAACTTCTTCCATGACCAATTCTTTGCTACGCCACTGCTTCCTGCAATACGTTAGGAAATATTAATATTTATGTAGCACCACCCCCTAAATTTTGTACATAGTTGTCCGTACAATTTTTTGTTAAATATCGGATACGAGCAATTACAAGCAAAAAAATTCTTGATGTAACGATTGGTATGAGAAAACTAAATCTTATGTCAGATTTGTTGAAAAAATCTCTTTAGGGAACAAAGTTATATAGGTTTGAAAAGGCGATAGTTTTCACACATTTTCACGGTGAAAAGAACTGCAATAGGCGGCAATATACTATTTTTATAATTTATTAAACACCCTGAAAAATGTAAAAAAAAAGTATATTTTATGTCAAGCCTTAAGGCAATTTATACTGTTAATTAATCGTGAATAGTTTGTAAGAGAAATTTTGTTACGCTTTCACGCTTGTCAATATATATTTTATTTCACACAATACTTAGGTGGTCGATGTTAAATATACTCAGCCGCTAACCTAGCAAAAACAACACAAAAATAGAGCTATATTTACCATACTTTTCCCCTCATAGAACACTCATTCATATTGTAGCACGTAATGGACTCCCGTCCATTTTTCTACAAACCTGTTCTGCAGCTTAACAACATTTACGTTATCTTAAAGGATATTAATAGAACATAACTTTGAACGTGTTCATTATATATATATATAAACCTAGACTTTTTCTAAAGCAAAAAAAGGAGAAAGCGTGTTTTTATATCACATTCTAAATTACAATAATTACAATACTATAGCAAAAAAAAAAATTCCAAATTATTTTCGTAATTAAAATGTAACTATCTAAAAAACATCAGAATCTTTGTCCGACATTAACACTTTCAGTTAGATAACTTGTGCGTAATTTTCAACCGTTAAATTGTAATACAAAGTAATAAACTTTATAAGAAATAAAAAGTTATCCGATTCTTTTTCACTCTATAACAAATCCGCTTTGAATCACATAGACCTACTTTGTAAGAAACTTGATAAGTATTTGATAATGAATTGATCAATATCAGTGATGTCATATTAAAACTTAAAAGTGTAATAATACATACTCTGTCGAAAGTTCCTAGTCAAGGTTTTTCTTTTAAACATGAAGTGAATTTTACCATTAGCATTTCTTCATGACGCATGGTGCTTGTCAGGTAAACTTTCTTCAACAAGCAGGAACGCGTAATTTAGTTTCGTACAATACTAAATGCTGATTTAAACATACATGCATTTTAATGTATATAGACCGACGTTATTGTTTAGATAATATAACTTGCTTTTCTTTAAATAGTGGAATGTAGCTAATAATTTATACGTTTTGTTTTAGTTTTAGTTTCGTATCTTGTGAAGTGTAGGGCCTACTACTCTAAAATGTTATCTCGCAAAATACAGATAAGAGTGAATCTACACAGCACTCTGTTGTATAGCATTGGTATGTGGCCCAACTAAATCAGACAGTGTGACAAAAAACCTCATTGTATTTTAAGTCAAATGTTTTCGCTTTTATTACTGCTAACGAATGTGTTTGTATGACTGATTAAGTAAAATTAAAACAGGTAATTATTATCCATGCTTTGTATGTCGTGAGTTAAATAGAAGAGGTAAAATGATCAATTACTGCATATTTACAATATTTCCTGTAAAAATGATTTTATTGCTTCAAATTTTTAACAATAAAGATGTAAAGAAAATAAAACCTCAGCCTTTGCTCAGTGCTAACTTTACAAATTCAATTGTTCAGCTAAATCAATATCTAAATACTTAATATCGAGCTGGTTAAAATAATATAAACATTATTATTAACAATTTTCGACATAATAAAACTTTTTGTAGACTTGGCTCATGCTGAAAACGAATCGAGTGATCATTGCCGTGAAAGGTAATTTAAAGAGAGATAACCAAAACATTTATACTTGGTTTATAAACAACATTATCTTTCTTTTATGAATACTTAGCAAACAGTGGCGTAGCTACCGTAAAGCTAGCGTAATCAAGGCATAGGGGCCCGAGGCATTTAGGGGCCCTTTTCCCTCTTAAAAAATTAAAACTTTTACATTGCAATTTCAGTATTTGTTTTTATATAAATAGTTTTAAATAAAAATGAAAATTCAGTTTCTTTTCTATTATAGAAATAATTAAAAGTCCCAAAAGGCCCCTAGTTATTCCTTACTTTACAAGTAGTGGGATTCAGTGTGTGTGTGGGGGGGGGGGGGGGGCATCCGTAATAATGCCACTTCAGGCGTTGCCGCATGATCGTGCAAGCCATTGAGAGAATTAGCCTATAAATAAACTTGAACTGACTCTTTGGTGAGTTCGGCAGCCAGCATCCGTAAATTTACGTGCATTGCTACAAACCTCAACTAACTGGGAAATTCCCTACCCCACAACAGAGACCTGAACCTCTCTTCCAACTGTTTACCCTCCACGAAATTCTATCTTACTAGACATTCATGCTAACAATTGAACCATTTAAAAAAATTACCATGGATAGTGTTTTCACAACCAGCTGAGTCCAACATTTGTCAATGTTTTTCTTTACCTTAATGACATTTCATTTGTTGATCTAATTAATCTTTAATCAATTTGGCGCTACTAAGACTATAAGTTTTTGGTTTTCATCCAATCGCCAAGAAACTTTGGGAAGTCGTTGAAAATACTCCAAAGGAAGTATTTTTTTCCCCTGACATTTTTTTTTCTGAAAAGGTGCCTGGAAGAAACTCGACTCGTGGAATGGTTTCTGCCATTAAATTTTTATATTATTTCAGTAAGGCGGTGCAGTTTGCCATCCATAGTTCCCCAGCGGCTATTTTTGCACCTGGGGTCCGCTGATTGGGTGTCCGGCACCAGTCGGTGGTGTTTTTAATGAGCGCCATACAATAGGTATACGTTGAAATACTAAAATTGATTAGTTAATCGAATGAAGGGATGTTCTCCAGCGCATCAGCAGTAGTAACCGATGGGTGCCCCGAGTTCCCCTGCGGCTACCTGTGTACACGAGATCCGTAGATTGTGCATCTTGCAAGGTACTACTTGATTCAATGGTCAAAATGCAACAGTGGCAGCTTTTGACGCCCTCGCCGTACGGATGACAATTCTGACACCAATTACACGAGTATTCTACATTAGGGACACGGTTGGCCTCTACTTTCGATGAATAAAAAGAAGTGTAACCAGTCACTCCTGCGACGCCC